TGACCGGCAGTGCCGTAGGGGAACATGGAGCCAGCTTCCCATGCAATCAGGAAGCAGAACAGCTGACCCACCTCCCGATTTCCTGATTGGCCAATCAGGAAACCGGGAGGCGGGTCATTTGTCACTGCCCTGCTTCCTGACCAATCAGGTCATTACTCGCCACCCGGTTTTCTGATTGGATGGGAAGCCGTTTTCCCGGCCAATCACAATCAAGCCGGCTAAACAACATGGAGTCGGCTTCCCTGGCAATCAGGAAGCTGGGTAGCATGTAATTACCCGCTGCCCAGCTTCCTGATTGCCAGGGAAGCCTGCTCCATGCCAACAGAAGCACTGATACTCTGTATCGGCGAGTACCAAAAGCAAAATATCGGTACTCGCACTTGATACCCAAAAACCTATATCGGTGCATCCCTAGTTTTGATTAAAGGAGAACTATGGGGTTAGGGCTTTCCCCATAGTTTTCAGAAGGGTAACGGGAGGACACAAACTAGCGCCGCTACAGCTCGCGGTATACTGAGACGCCGCAGCTGAAACGGATCCCGACAATTATGTCTGGATCCGCCCAGCTCCGTGAGTGACAGCTGGCTCTGCCTATCTAGAGGCAGAGCCAGCTGTACCCGAACCCCCTCCCCTGTCTGTTCCGCCAGTCTGCGCTGGAGGATCGGAGCGGGGAGGGGAGAATCCAGTCGCTCCCCTGTCACGGCTCTCTGCCGTGACAGGATCGAGAAGTGAGCGAACGCCGGTATGTGTTTGCTCACTTCCCGATTATATATATAAATAATGGGAATGCCGTCTGACTACTACATTTTGGCAAACTGTGTTTGCTGCTTATATTCTTGTAATGTGTTAAATGTCCCATGCAACCCTCAAATAGCTCTACTCTCAGAGCTACCAGGTCAGAAATCTGCCTCCAAGACAATGGAAATCTAAAGACCCACCATCAATGAGGGAATGGATTATAAAACGTAAGCACCTGATCATTATACCCAGTTCTTCTCCACTTGGGGAACTTGGCTTCTCTTCTGAGATACCATCCAATTTTAAAATGGGTTTTCTTGATATACCTTGTATATTATAAAGAGATGTGTTTATTTAAAAAAATCTTCATCAGAACTTAGGAACAGTAATTGTGATTTGTCAGCATGCACACTTTGTGTATGTTTTTGCTAAGTAAATATGTTAAAAACAGAGGTAGCAAATGTGTACTCAATGTCTCCAGCATAGTCCCATTTACCACATGCAAGATCGAATTGTTCAGTCAAGTATATATATATATCAGTTTATTATTTTCAGTTTGTGTATGACACAATGCAAAAACCCTACGTTTAATGTTTAATAGCCACATCCTATCTCCCTCGCAGTCTATGGCCTGCTACAGTTCCTGTATGCTTACTATTACTTTTCTTGCAAACCATACCTCAATGTCAAACTATCCCCACGTCAGTCTTTACAAAGACTTCTAAACAGAGCCACTTCTTGCATTCTGTATTCTCCTTAAACTGGCAGTTAATTCACAAAAAGGTTAAAAAAAACCTTTATAAGGCGTGGTTCAATTTTATCTAATGTGAAAAAATCCTTCATAATCCCTAAAAGCAATCAGATAATCCTGGATCAACATGTTATTTCTCATAAATGTTAGAGTAATATCAATATCACCAGCTATTTATATTTTGTGATTTCATGGATAACTTCACTCTATATTCCTCTGAAAACGTTTTTAGTGATTTGAAAGCCTTGTATATGATGGAATCTACAGTATCTCTAGCCAGCAATGTGGCAGATTTCCAAATGAGGTCACTTTTCTGACACACAATGATGAAATGTATAGTCCATATTGCACTCCTTAAAGCCCTGTTTTGGGCTAAAAAGCAAAACAATTAAAAATTAAAAATAACTCCATTTATACCCAGAGCAAAGTGTTTTCTTTAGAGGACAACCATACCTTTGGAAAAAGACCCGGAGGGGAGGCTTTCTGAAGCAAAGCTGTGCGACAGCTATCAGGGCTGAACAGCTAAATTCCCTGGATTGTCGATGAAGCTAAGTATTTATCCACGTGAACTGCATTCAGGGGAATATGAGCATGCCTTAAAAGACAACTTGTTTCCAACACCAAGAAAAACTTACCTGAATTTGTTGTAACGGTACCCTCCATGGCACCTCTTCTGGGAATGAAGACTGGAGAATAGAAGCTGCAGAGCAAGCATTGTTTTTTTGCTGCCCCTAGTATGGTGCTGTCACAAGATTGCCCATTTAAGATTTCTGGACCCTGTGAGGGCTCCTTGAGGGCCTTACGAGGGCCCTGTGATAAACACTTCTGGCAGCCAATATCCAGCATCTACAGTAGGAAACCACCTTCTTGCTCCCCATGAGGCAAGTTGAAAGCTGAAAGTATTATTTAGATGCCTAGGGCAAAATAATCCCCGTGCAACAGTAAATCTGACAATATGGGACCACAATGAAAGTCGCTTTGTCAAGGTGTGCACACATAAAGTTAAACCTTGGCAATAGAATGTTTTCTTGCTATCGAAACATTGGATCTGTGTTCTGCATTTCGTAGGGGCTTAATGAAAAGGGATTGGGGATCAGACATTTCAGATGTGTATGGTAGTGTAGCACCAAGTACAGTATAAATAAATGTGCCTGTGCATCAGTTGTGTTCTCTCTGTACTTCAGGCCCAAAGTCCCATCACTTTCATGCAGTAGCTTACATTAATTACCTTCCCCTTAAAACAAAATGACATGGAATATCTGAGCACAGCTTAGCAAATATGGATGCCGTTTGTTCCGCCGCAGTATAGTTGGAGAAAATGTTTGTTTGCCTCTTTATAAGTCATTTGATTGTCATATCTGGTTAGCAGATTTTTTTTATATTACTTTTCATTGTTCCTTCTGTCTCCTGAAGGAATAAAAATTGCTGCCAAGCTCTGATTCACACCTGGTGTACTAAATGCATAAAAGAAGATTACACAGTAACTTAGATGACAGGCTTACTGTGTTTATACCTTATGGTTTTAACATACAGGATACAGCTTGCAGGCAATACCTCTGTGAGGACAATGTTAAACAGTAGAAATGTAAGAGGAGTTTAACACCAAGATGGTTCACACACATGAAGGGACTCTGATGAGATCCCACAATAAACTTAGTGATTCTCAGATTATTAGTTACTTGTATTTAATCCATTTCTACTTTAAACCATATTTCATGGATTCTAAAACAATGGCAAACTGACAGATTTAAAGGAGAACTATGGGGTCAGGGCTTTTCCCCATAGTTCTCCTTAGGGTAACGGGAGGACACAAACTAGCATCCTCCCGTCACCCTAAACTCAGTATACCGCGAGCTACAGCTCGCGGTATACTGAGACGCCGCAGCCGGAGCGGATCCCGACATCGATGTAGAGATCCGCCCAGCTGCGTGAGTGACAGCTGGCTCTGCCTACCTAGAGGCAGAGCCAGCTGTACCCGCCCCCTCCCCCGTCCGTTCCGCCAGTCAGCGCTGGTGGATCGGGGCAGGGAGGGGGGAATCCATCCCCTCCCCTGTCACGGCAGAGAGCCAAAACAGGATCGAGAAGTGAGCGAACATCGGCATGTGTTCGCTCACCTCCCGATCTACTGAGCCGACCTGTGACAGTCTCATTGTCACAGGTCGGCTAGAACTATGAGGTGAGTGAAAAGCACTCACCTCATAGTTCTCCTTTAAGTCCCACAAAAATATTACCGTGAGAGTTGAGGTCAAAGCATAAGATTGTCTTCCTCTCTGCTCTGTTGGGCTGTCCCAAATAAGAACAAAAGGGGAGAGAAGAAATGTGACAGATCACCACTTGAAATGTGTAATGACTCACCACCTGGCTTCCTGTTTAGCCGGGAAGCTGGGCAGCGTGTAAAAACTCGCCACCCAGCTTCCCTATTAGCAGGGAAGCCGTCTCAATGCTTCTGCGTCACCAGGTGACAAGAAAGGCATGGAGCTGGCTTTCTGGCAAATCAGAAAGCCGGGAGCCGTGTAATGACGTGGCGCCAAGATTCCTGATTGGCCGGGAAACCGACTTTATGCTCCCTCGTCACCAGAGGACAAGGGCGAATGAAGCCGGCTTTCTGGCCAATCAGAAAGACGCAGGGCGTGTAATTACTCACAGTCTGGCTTCCTCATTGGCCAACTTCCCGGTCAATCAGGAATCCGGGCAGCATGCAATGACTTTCTGCCCGGCTTCCTGATACCGGAAGCTCAAGTATCGGGCTAGCCATCGGAGAATTTGGGCTCGCTCAAATACTCGGTATGGCACAGATACCGATACTAGTATCAGTATTGGTGCATCCCTAGTTTTTATTGTTGTCTGTATCCTTGTTGGAGAGATTTGTTCTCAGTTCCTGTTTTGGTGTCTCACAGAAAGCAAAGAAAACCTACTCAACAAGAAAACCGCAAAAAACTAAAAGATCTAACCCTTCCATGCTCTTCTAAGCAAATGTGCTTTTTATTATTGTTGCAATCTTGATGAAGAGTTTAATCTCACTTCTTGTCCTAAGGAGCACCCAGTAAGTGAAAGGAACATGGACACTAAAAAAAATAGAAATATGTTCTAACTCGTCTACACTCTATCCAAAAATTTTCTGGAAAAAAGTACTTGGAATTTGACTTTAAATATATCCACCTTGGCTATCCAGAGGCCCAATGTCAAAGTGACCTGGGGCCCTGCTATTTTCTGCCCATAAGGATACAATTGTATTTAACTCATACATTATTGTATCCAGAGCAACTAGCACTGCCAGAGTCCTCGCTAACAGAGCAGGGTTTCTGGGTATGGGGAAGCATGTGAACTTCCCTATGCAACAGAGCTCTGGCCTGTGTGGCCAATTACTAGACCTGAACACAGTTACGAAGTGGGTGCCATGATGTCATCCTCCTGTCTAAGTTCTGACATTAGATAACACCTGAGTTTAGACAACAGGGAGGCGGCAAAGGAAGTGTGGCTGGGAAAGTATCCATGTGTGGGAGGGGGACTATCTGCAGACACTGTCACTTTGCCCACTTAAAGTTGACCTTTCCCTCCTTTGACCAAAGATCACATCAGCATGCAGCTCTGCATGCTGATATGAAATTATATTACATTCATTATCTAAACAAAGATATTTTTATTGTACTTACAATTTCTTTTTTCCACTTCCTGTTCCACTTTGGCACTAATGATGTAATTGTGCCAAAGCGTTGCATCCTGGCAAGGTTATATCAGCAGATGATTGCTAGGAAATCACATCTGTAACCTCATGAGATCTCAGGGAAGGGCATTTTCCTCCCCTGAGATGATGTACATTGTCACAAGTCCTAGTCACATGTGCCAGAATTCCAGGAAGAAAAGAGAGGTCTAGTAACCCACCCTTAGTAAACATGACCACTGTCAGGAGACTGTGGAAGAAAAGAAAAAAAGGTTTACAAAAAATAAAAAGCCGGCAATTATCTAGAAGTATCTGTTGGTAGATTGTCATCACTAAACATTTCTTAAGGTGACTTTGTTGTAATTTTGAAGATATGGGTAAAGTTCCTCTTTAAGGCAAAGTAACAGCATCTTTCCAAAATAACTCATACAGTTCAATGATCCAAAGGTAATTCCACTGTGTTATTAAAGCAGTCAGTATGTTGTCATTATTGTCAAAAAAAAATTGCCGTCTGGAGACGGCAACCCGCAGATGCAGCAGTGCCGTCCGTCCGTTTTTCTACTATGGGCGGACGGCAAGAGGTTAAAATGTCAGTCAACCTGATACCTTTGCCAGTAACCTGACAGCCACCATGCAAATCTCCCACCATACAAATCCATCACAGCTCTAATCTATAGCCCGTTCAGAGCACAGTGTAAAACAATGCAAACAGCTGTCAAAGCATTATATTGCCATCAAATACTGATGTGTTACCTGTAATCCTGTGGAAGATGATGGGGATGGGTTCTGTTGTAACTAACACATCTTCATCATTTTCTGAGCTTGATACATATGTATTATCTGCAGCAATAAAAATGACATTTAGGTATACCGGAATTTAAAGCCAATGCTGCCACTTTAAATACGTTTTACAGGTGTGAGCTAGAAACAGACACATGCTGAAGATCGTTGCATAAATTGATAAAGCAGCGTCCTCATATAGGTAAACTGTCATGAAGGACTCATGGAAGCAACCACTGCTTAAAGTGGACCTGTACATCCTTTCACTAATAATCACAATCAGCATGCAGCTTTGCATGCTGATATAAAATCCTCTTACATTCATTACTTAAACGAACATGTTTTTCATTCACTTACAAATAGAGTTCATCTACTCCCTGGTCCTCTTTGGCACTAATGATGTAATGTGCCCAAGTGTTGCATCCTGGGAAGGTTACATCATTAGAGCATTGCTGGGAAATCTCACCTGTAATCTCATGAGATCTCAGGGAAAGGCATTTTCCTCCCCTGAGGTGATGTGCATGGTCACATGTCATAGTCACATGTCTAGTCACATGTGCCAGAGTTCCAGGAAGTAAAGGTAAATCTAAAAACCTGCCCTTAGTTAAAATGGCCACGGTCAGAAGACTGGGGAAGAAAAGAGAAAAAAGGTAAGCAAAGTATAAAAAGCAGGCAAATAGAAGTATGTGTTTGTAGATTGTCATTACTAAACATTTCTAAAGGTGTGTTTGTTGCTATTTTAAATATATGGGTAAAGGTCGGCTTTAAGCTGGCCATACATTTTACGATTCTCCCATCCATGCTAAACCGCATGGATGAGCAACTCTTTTCCTTGACTGTCAGAATACCCAAACAGTGGCTGCATCTGACTGGCTGTAGTCACGGTTGGGCTGCCAATTTCCCACCAGGCTCCTTCCACAAAAGTTGAGAAATTGATTTTGTCAAACCGGGTAGACCAATTTCAAGGCTAAGTTGTTTTAAATTTCAGAGTTCTACTTCAAGACCAATTTTGAAAAAAAAATGTTTTTCTATCATTATACAGTCCATCTAGTGAGCACCAGCAATACGTATGTCTCTGCTTTGTCAGCCTGTTATTTATCTATACACTAACTATTCCAGGAAGTCATCTATTGATTAAGCTTTCTTTCCAGTTCATGAATGCACTACACAGAGCTCAATAGTTTATACATTATGGGAGACATTTATCAAGTTTGCGGCACAGCAAGGCACCGCAAAACGGGTGCAGTGATGCATCTTCGGAGACAGATTTTCTATAAGATCGCAGTCTGATTCATACATTCTGCCTCTTTTGCTTAAATGTAGTTGAAATTTAAATGATACCCCCATTTCATAAACATTGTTGCAAAGTTACAGGATAAATATGCTCCGGACCTATGCAAAACTATGACAGTGGCCTGACGGACAGTGTAGATGTGTGGGACAAAAACACACAAAAATCTTTCTGAAATCCTTTCCTGAAAGAAAGAGAGGCTGGTTTGCACCAAACATACATGCAGTATGATTCTGTTGTTACCTTGTGTGATAAATCACATCTTACATATTCTGTTTTTTTCCTGCATTATCTATATATAGTGCTTCACTTAAAGAAATACTGTTTTGTTATTTAATTACAATTTTCTTATTGCTGTATCTTTTCTAAGAGCCATACTTGCATTGGCACAATGTTTGAGCATTGTATATAATTTATTGAGTAATATCATTATGCCCCGAAGGCTGGCAGAACAGATGATCAAAATCTGTAAAAAGTACCATATAAATCAGACATGTCAAACGTAAGCCTAAGGGTGGGCCGCAAAGGCAGTCATGCCTTTGACTGTGGGATGCAACATAGTAATTTACTACTCTCGTCCACTAATTGATATCACCACCTTCATAGGAGATGCCTCTTAAGGTGCCCATACACCTCCCGATTATCGTATGATAATGGCGGGTGATCCCGCGATCGTACGATAATCGGCAGGTGTGTGGGCAGCGTGCGACCGCTTCTACTGTACGGTCGCATGACTTTTGTCTTCCGAGCACGCTGGAAAAAAGAAATTTAGGCGGGTTGGTGGCGTGCTCGGAAGACGAATGCCGCATGGGCCAGTGTGCGCAAGCGCACACTGCCCGCTCAGCACTGCAATCATCAGAAGCCCTCCCCTTTAATAGTTTATACCCAGCTCGACTCTAAGCTTCTCACTGCTCATTCCCCACATTGAACGCCAAGCCTAAGAGGCAGATGCCTCAGGCTTAGACTCCCAGGGCCTTTTCACATTAGCCCATCCACTAAAATGCTCTGTTTTAGTGGGCGGGTTAGTGCATTGTGGCAGTTCTGGTGTTGTACGTTGTATCACACCCAGATGGAGCTGTCAATGTGCACTTTTTTGACTTTTTGTGGAGTGTACAATGTGCATACTAAAGCAAGGTCACTGGATGGCAGTGTGCTGCGATAGAATGAAGCATGTTTGCACTCACAGTGCACCGCCCACCGTGTTGTGATTTGAATGGGACACACAGAAAACAATTGTTTTCTATGTGTCCTTGCGATGACCTGTTGATCTAGTGCGGTAAACCAGAGGTCATCAGCATATCTGTAAACAGGCCCTAAGTGCTCCCCCCTTCCCACCCACCACCCTCAAGGGAGACACCTCTTAGGCTTAGATTCTACGTGTTCCCCTATCCACCCCTCACCTTTAAGGGAGATGCTTCTTAAGCTTAGACACTAAGGGGTCTATTCACTAAGCTGCCGAAGGATCTAGTTGTAGCTTCGGCTGATCCTTCGGCTAGCTTCGGCCCCAGGACCCCTTCAGTTCAGTAGAACCGAAGGGCTGCTGTACGGGCTATTCCCTATAGCCGTACAGCTCCCGAAGTCGGCCGAGCGGCTCAGTCGAGCCGAAGGCATATGCTTCGGCTCGACTGAGCTGAGGTGAAAGCTGGCGGAACGGCCGGCCGACAGCCTGCTACTGACTGCTGGGCGGAGCTAGCCATCATCTCACGGCTCACTCTGGCCACCTGCACAGACAGATCAGCGTCCCTGGTTACCAGGTAACCAAGGACACTGATCTCCAGACAGCCCAACTCTCCAGGGTGCTCCGGGAGTCTCCCGCTATTACATAGCGACTCCCGGCCGCCCAGGAGAGAAACACTTTCTCCCAGATCGAGCAGAGTAAACCTTTCCCTGCTCTGTTTTTTTTTTTTTTCCTCTGACATCAGAGCCGTTGCCTGCCGTCAGAATAAAAAAAAAAATCACAATAGGAATGCAAAGCTAGATTCCTATTGGCTATTTCAATTTGCAATAGCAAACTAGCTATTGCACCTGCCCACTGCTACTATCAATCAGAAGAGGGGACCTGAAGTTCTCCATCAGGTCCCCTCTATTGATTGACAGCAGCAGAGGGCGGGTGCAATAGCTAGTTTGCTATTGGCTATTGCAAAGTGAAATAGCCAATAGGAATCTAGTTATGCATTCCTATGTTTTTTTTAAATTCTGACAGCAGCAGAACAGCCCAGCCAGTAGAAAACAGTTGGGTGGAGCTAGCTGTCAGTGCTAGCTCCGCCCAATCGTTTTCTATTTTATTTGTTACTACTTTTTAAACTGTTTTTATATTCTGCTCGGTACCACAGAGGTACCAAACAGAACAACCGAGCCGAATATCGCTCGGCGGCATTCGGCTATTCACTCACTGATTTTCGGCATCTATGAGAATAGGTCCAACAGCAGCGAGTAGCCTGCCGGAGGTTCGGCTCAGCCGATCCAGATGTTGGATCGGCTGAGTCGAATTCCTTATGCACTTCGGGTCGGCCGAACATGCCGAGCATGTTCGGCCGACCTGAAGCCAGCCGAAGTATGGCTGATTTCAGCCGATATACGGCTGGAATCAGCCAAACCAGCCTGAAGTGAATAGCCGAACAGCGTTTGGCTCACTACACTTCGAGTCGGTTAGTCACTCGGCTGCCTACGGCAGCTTAGTGAATAGAACCCTAAGTGTTCCCCTGCCCATTCACCACTTTTAAGTGAGACATGTCCCCTGAGATGGTGTACAGGCAGTGAGACACCTTAACTGAACCTAAGGGGTATCTCCCCTGAAGGTGGTCGGTGGATGAAATGGTACACTGTGGGCCACACAGAAATTTTGTTGCAGTCCGCAAGCAGCACTTAGACATGTCTGATGTAAAACATTGAACATTGAAAATAAAGGCTACTGTACCTGGATAATCCTCAGAGACATGTACTGAATATGCAACACTGTAAAACAAAAGGGGAAATCAGAATATTACTATATAGCATCCACATAATATGTGAAATATAATGTACATGTATAAAATATATACTATATTTCCTAAAATATTTTTTAAATTACATTACATGTTACATTATTGAACCCTGGATAATTTTACAGAAGCAATTTCTGTCTATATAGTGAGAAATGTGGGCCATAAAAGGAATCATTTGAATATTTTTGCACTAAAGAAATTATTAGGAGCTACTTTAATGTAAAGGGAAATCCCTCTACTAAGGACACAAACGGCAACCAAACACTTATTTTTCAGTAAAAACTGACACAAATTTTAAATTTAACTTTTTTGGCCATAGGAACGGATGGATTATCATACATTCTATGTATACAAATTGCTGCAGAGGTGCCAATTCCTGCCCATATGATTAGATTTTGAGAGGTTTGTTCTCATTTCTTCTTGCTTCTCCCAGACAAGAAGTCAAGACAACATTAACTGAAAAGGGTTTTAACACTTCTCTACTCTATCCAAAACAAAAACAAAAATGCTTTAGACTCTTTTGGTAGTTGAAAAGACCAAAACATTAAGATGAACATAAAATGGAACAAATTTTTGTCCATTGAATGTTCAGCTAAAAAAAAATGATTTAGGCAAAAATAATAAATCATAATATTTGAAAATGCAAATTATCCATATTTGAAAACTAGTTTTCCTAACTATCATTTATTATTGCAATCATATGTGATAGTGATGCAGCATTACAGATGCCAGTACAGCTCTACTGTCCCCCTATGTCAGTCCAACTCTTCTGTCCCCCCATGTCAGTCCAACTCTACTGTCCCCCCATGTCAGTTCAACTCTACCATCCACCCAAGTCAGTTCAACTCTACCGTCCCTCCATGTCAGTTAAATTGTACTGCCCCACATGTCAGTCCAACTCTACTGTCCCCCCATGTCAGTTCAATTCTACTTTCCCCCCATGTCAGTTCAATTCTACTGTCCCCCATGTCAATTCAGCTCTACTGTCCCCCCATGTCAGTCCAACTCTACTTTCCCCCTATGTCAGTCCAACTCTACTTTCCCCCTATGTCAGTCCAACTCTACTTTCCCCCTATGTCAGTCCAACTCTACTTTCCCCCTATGTCAGTCCAACTCTACTTTCCCCCTATGTCAGTCCAACTCTACTTTCCCCCTATGTCAGTCCAACTCTACTTTCCCCCTATGTCAGTCCAACTCTACTTTCCCCCTATGTCAGTCCAACTCTACTTTCCCCCTATGTCAGTCCAACTCTACTTTCCCCCTATGTCAGTCCAACTCTACTTTCCCCCTATGTCAGTCCAACTCTACTTTCCCCCTATGTCAGTCCAACTCTACTTTCCCCCTATGTCAGTCCAACTCTACTTTCCACCTATGTCATTCCAACTCAACTGTCCCCCATGTCAGTTTAACTCTGACTGGCTGACTGACTAACTGAAAGGGACTAGAGGAGATCAGCATCACGGAGATGAAACAATGGATCAAAACAGTATTTTATTCAACAAAAAGAAGAAAAAAAACTAATTCAATTGTATATAATACACAGTGCTTTCTCAAACTGCATGTTGTCCAGTTAGGGTTTATATATATGTTTGAAGGGAACTCCAGCCTTAGCTAATTTTCCTACACTTGCAGCAAGTCCACTCCTTTGTTGAAACAGAATACTTTCAACTTCATGCAAACTTGCATCGTCACAACATAACCCTTTAAAGCTGAAGCAACCATCTTGAGCCCACCTTTATTTTCTATCTAAATTACTTCAATTATCATCAACCCTCTCCCATTCTGCTCTGCTTCGTACTGCCATTGCCTGCCTCTGTTAGCTTTGCCTGCCATCAATTATCTTGTTCCTGAGTGAAAACATGCCCATCGCCCATTGGGTGTGCCTGCAACCAGTCCACCAATAAGCAGATTGCATAGCTAACATCTGCAGCACCAGCCAGCAGGTAGAAGCAGGCACACTATTCTAAATGGATCCTGGGGATGTGTTCTTTCATATAACGCTCTTAAAAGAAATTCAAAAATATGTCTTTCTTAAAAGCAAAATGATTTAATTTTAAATTTGTAAATGCATGGTGATGAGGGGGAACAGGGGAAGGTATTATACTGCATACTGTGTACATTATACTTTAGCTTTACGCATAATGGGTGTATTAGTGTATCTGAACTAATGCAACTAACAGGTAAAGAAATCAGCATTCACATTGAATATTCCAAACATCCAGCTAGTGTAGACAATAACCTTTTCTCCTCCATTAAGTTACATTGACACATAATCAGAATATAATGATCTCACAGACATAAAAGCCATTTCAATTATCAACCTCATAAAGCGGAAGTAAAATATGGCATTCCAATGTTTTCGCTGCCCTACCTATTAAAAGTTGTTTGTTGACGGAGGCACTTGGTGAGTTTTAAATACGACAACAAAATCATGAATTTTATGTGAAAGGAGGTTCTGTGTAAAGAAAGCAGGTTCTAGCAAGATATTTTATTTTTTTTGCACAAATCACGTAACCACAACTGCAGTATTAACCTAGCAAAAAAAGAACCTAGCATTCAAGAAACTACTGCTTATATACTGTAGGTCAAATCCAATATAACATTAAGATGCTGTGTCTAAAAGCATGCCTTCTCAGAAATTCATCTGGTCCTAATGGCCATATTCTCTAGCCCTAGGATAGCTTCCAGAGAGCAATGCGAGTCCTTCAATCTCAGGAAAATCCCCAGGAAAAATATAAACTACCCTTGCAGTGTGAAACGTAATTGCTCGTTAATGTCTAGGGTACCTGTGTAAAGGACTTTTACTTACCTGATCCCTACTTCCACTGGCTCAAAGACCAGCACCCACAGCCTTTTTCCTGCTCCCCTCCAGTGGTCGGAGACCTACTGACATCATCACGTGCAATGCAGGGAGACCTGCATTATAGATAAGGACACCAAGGGACAGTTTACAATTGTAGAGGAGACGAGTTAAGTGCCAACTGCCGGGGGCAGTGGGGATCAGGTAAGTAAAAGTACTTTACAAAGTTCCAATGGTCGGAGCTCAGGCACACCCCTTCAGAATACCCCAAACTGCAAGGTAAGGAAAAGGGGAACATAGCTGGTGTAGGCTGGTTGAAGAAACAAGGTAGGGTTGGCGTTGCACCAAACAGGTTGGTCAGTTTAAAAGAAAGTAGTGGGGCTTAGGAGCATATGGAGAAAGAATGTTACAGAATGTTATGGAGGTCGTCCATTGTTCAGATGGAAAGTTAGTCCCTTCCTCCCACCCCTGGGTTCAGATCCGGACTGTTACGTTTTTTTCCTGCAGCCAAGACACATCCCAATGTATTTCTATGTGATTTCTGGGCTCTGTTCACACCAGTGCAGTTCCGTTGCAGGAAAAAAAATACTGCATGCCACATTTTTTCTGCACCGGAACAAACTGGAACACACCGGAAAGTGTCAAAAATGCAATGGAACGCACTGAACCCCACCGGAGTGGAAAAAAATAAAAAGAGGCTTGGGAGCAGATTTGATTATCTCATTAACCTTGGACTTCTTGTGAGTTGGGAAGGAGACTTGGTGTGAGCAATGTGGATAGCATAGTGCAGAAAATTGATATTGACATCGACCAAATTGTGGGGTATGTGGAGGAGTCACCCGAATTGTATGACCCCTGGCACCCTGATTATAAAAACAATGCGTGCAGGATAGAGAAATAGCGGTCCATTGCGGCAAAGTTTTTTCCTGACTTTCATTGGATGAGAAGGGAACAAAAGCAGCACTGTGGTGAGTAAAATACTTTTTATATATTACGGAAAATTGACCCTTTGATTCTCTTAGCTCCAAGAGTGGGTGCACCCAAAAACAACTTCTCCTGCGAGCACGTTGTTTCAGGATTGCAACAGCCATCACAAAAAAACATGCCCCCATACAAATAAAACATGTCTGTGGATTACATTGTGGATATCATACAGCCCTGTGCTGCATTTTTGTCTCAGTGGGAAATGGAGACAAGCACTGGCATGCCCCCTCCTCTAAATAACAATTGAGTGCACATTGCTACTGCTGAACTTAGGGAGAGCTCACTTGCTTCCGTCCCAACTGCCTGTGGATGTTTTCCAGACAGGTACTCTTGACACACCCCCTACTTCTGCTTGGGTTGGTACAGCGCTGGTCTCAGAAAAGTGTTTGTTATCCAAGCAGGGTTGTCAGACATTGGTGAGTGGAGGGAGGGGGGAGTGCTGTCAACCACACTAGCTCTTGAACCACTGCACCTATTGAAATAGGACAAAGTGCTACATGCACTTTGTTCCCTCCGAGACAACGTGAAATAAATTTGGGAATGGTGAAACTTCTTCTTTAGGTCCTATTGTGGGCTGGCAACACACAGCATTTTTTTGACTAAGTGGTGTAAGTCCTCCCAGTGTCTTTTTGTAAATGCTCAACCCCTCCCACTCTCGCATCTCTTCTACATAAAGGCCAATCAGGGCTCTTTGAGATAACACAGGAAGTGTGGAGAGAGCGCAGGAAAACTCTGACTTTCTGTCAACAACAACAAACTGCTTCCAACAGTATATTTAACAGACCAAAAAATTCATTCAGGTTAAATGGTGCTGCGTAATGGACTATTGAATGTGTAATGTAATTGATATTTGAACCACTGCAGAAGGTACTTGGATAAAGCAGCGACACATCTTCAGTATTACAGAAGAAGTCCAGTAGAATGAGACAAACTACTACTGAGATATTTATTTGAGGCTAGTGCCTGGTACAGGTCTTCAACACATCAATACACTCTGCTAAAAAGGGGAACTGTTGAAAATCTGGTCAACTGTTGCAACACTGTAGTTATTTAAATATTTGGTAATGTTATTTAAAGTGGAACTCCAGGAATGTAAACTAACCCTTGCAGGGGGGCCACCCCCACATTGTAAGGGTTAACTGCTCATTTTGGTCTAGTGGCTTAAGTAAAAAAGAAATATACTTACA